TCAGAAGTTATTTCAGGTGTACGTAGGATCGATATTTTTGTAAACTTCAAAACGAGAGTATTTATGACGTTCCTCATGCCCCCTGCTACTTTGTCCCTCATATTTCCAGATCTCTTCCACAATATTCTGCTCTCGAATTCTTCTCCTAATCACCTCGGACAATTATAATTACCTCGATTTTTTGGTGAATGTTCTTTCTTATGGCAAAAGCTGTATTTAGCAAGAAGAAGAATCTTTTTACCAGCAAATTGGACTTTAATTTGAGGAAGAAACTAGTGAAATGCTACATTTGGAGCATAGCTCTGTATGGGGCTGAAACATGGACACTTAAGGCAGTAGATCAGACATCTGGAAAGCTTCGAAATGTGGTGTTGGAGAAGGATGGAGAAGATCAGTTGGACCGATTATGTGAGAGATGAAGAAGTGTTAATTAGAGTCAGTGAGCAGAGGAATATCCTACACGAAATAAGAAAACGGAAGGCTAATTGGATTGGTCATGTTTTACGCAGAAACTGCCTTCTAAAAGAAGTTATTGAAGGAAAGATAGAGGGGCGGATAGAAGTGACAAGAAGACGTAAGAAGATGCTGGATGACCTTGGGGACAGAAGAGGATACTGTCAATTTTGAATGAGAAAGCTCTAGATCGCATTAAGTGGAGGAACTGTTTTGGAAGAGACTGTGGACCTGTCGTCTGACAGATTACTGATGATGATGATGTTCTTTCTTAGCGTAACTATACTGATCGGAAATAGAAAAAGAACAGTGGGCTTCACGAAAACGTCATTTTAACTAGGAGATTAAGTAAAATATCACCGTTGTCATAATAAATAATAATTATGCTCATGTATGCACCGTTGGCTGTAGGTTTTTTCATGATGTTAGACTTGTTATGTTAAGTGGTCTGCGTGTGTAGGTATTCTGAGTGTTCAGTGTCATTAATCCTGTTTTTATAGCATGACTGTGGTTGTGTGTGTGCTGCTATCCTGTGTAAAGCTCATGTAATATCTTCAATATGGAGTTGTATGGGTCGATGTATGTGTCATTCATATGTAGGTTATCTTTACTGATACTATAAATGTAATATTTTTCTAAAGCATTTAAATATTTGCCGTTCTTTCCTGTTTTTATAATATCCAGGTTTTCTTTACTGATACTATAAATGTAATATTTTTCTAAAGCATTTAAATATTTGCCGTTCTTTCCTGTTTTTATAATATCCATATTATCCGTTGCGGTTCCATATGTATGCCATGTGTTTAGTACGTTGTTTGATTATAAACAATCGCTGTTTTCTTCTGATGGCGTGAATTTATTCATTATATCTTAACATTAACTGTGAACGGAATTTCCAGGAAATAATGTGGAATGTTGCGAAATTGGAGTGACATGTATCGAAAGAGTCCCTTTTAGGATTTTATATTCTCACAGCAGTGATTATGAAGAATACTATCTTCTGGGATATAATGACGTGTAGTCAGTTGAAGGTCAACCGAAGTCTTCGGAGGAACATATGGGAAAGTCGACATTTTTAGGAGGATATTCTGAGGTTCTTCCTCCGTGTCCTCACGGCCTCATACTTCAGTTTCCTTCTCTAGTTATACAAGTACAAACAAATTGAAGGCGTGACTATGGGTCCACCTCTATATCCGGTCATCGCGACTTCTTCATGGAGGACTTAGAAGAACCGGCTGCCCATAAGCCCCTCTGCTGGTTCCGTTATGTGGGTGACACATTCTTCCTCTGGCCACACGGAACAGACAGGCTGAGTTACTTCCTTGACCATCTGAACAGTTCACCATGCAGACGGAAGGAGACGACATCGTCCCTTCCTTGAAATAGATATGTACCGGAGACCCTAGGGCTCTCTGGGCCATAGTGCACCACACTGTAGGGTGTAGTCCCATATTCCCGAGTAGACCTAATGGGACACGGCTTAGATCTCAAGATAAATATGGATCCATACACAGAATTGTTATGTTGGATACGTGCGCCTTTACAATCAGCAGGTCCAGCCTGGCCGCACACTTTGGTAAAGAACTTTGGATAACAAAAACACACGTCAACAACGCCGTAAAGATTTTGAAGCACACTTATTTTTCCCCCTTAATGAATATCAAAATTTACAATAGATCTTGAACACCCAAGTACTTACTAAAGACATATTACATTCAAATTTCTGCCTATTTCCCTGTCTACGGTTAATTTACTCGTATCATTTCCTTTCCTATCCTTCCCAGCATCAGGCTTTCAGAGAGGTTTCATTGCAGCATATAATGCTATCCATTTTCAGAAGAACGCTTACCTTTTGAAGCAGCTGCGAATACACACACACACACACACATATATATATATATATATATATAGATTCAGATATTCTTATATTCGGGGGCACGCGGTTTGTTGAAGCATTGTGCTACAAGCCTGGAGGTCGCGGGTTCAAGTCCCGATGAGTTCATTGGAATTTTTCAATTGATTTGATCCTTCCAGCCACATTATGACCCTGGAGTCAACTAACCTCTAACAGAAATGAGTACCAGGAACATTCTTGGGGGTAAAGGGCAGCCGGAGCGTAGGGCTGACAACCTTACCGCCATCTATGAGCCGATTGTCTAGAAAATGTGGGAACCTCAACATCTGACAAACCTATGGGCCCGCACGGTCTGTTACAGAGATACCTTTACTTTACTTACTTACTTACTTATTCTCGTATCCAGACAGCAAAAGTCCAAAATCATTTTTTGATGTAACGAGAAACGTGTTAAGCACAGGAGCTGAAATCCAGTTAAAAATTCTAAGCAACCGCCTTAAGTACCTTAACCAATCCGTCCACATCATTTTCCGGGATTTGAACTTCTTACACTAAGGTGGCTAAGTGCTCTAAAAATAGCATCGGTGACCTAAGCGGTATCTCCGTTTGGCAATTCACAGACTGTATGCAACAAACTGTGTAGCACGCTCAGAGACAAGACTGCGGCAACATTTCCCAGAATCAAAACTTTTGCTGCAGCTTCCCTGCGTCCGTGGCGCTAGCTTCTGAGAAGAGAACAGCGATCCTTCTTTATTGCTGGAAGTACGTAGCCTTTGAAGAGGATATTCGGAGTTCAAATTCAGTGGATTCTCGGAAAGTAGAGGAGTGATACTACGCATGTGGATACAAAATATGAAATAAGACACGAAATGAAATCGATAAACATCTTGAACTAGCTTTATTTTCTTCATCACCGACATCTTGAACTATTATACTTTTCATTCGAAGTGTAGGATTAATAAAGGGTTAATCCAAAGAGGAAGCACAATAGATCATTGAAGGTCGCAGTGCAAGGGCCGGATTTTATGGCCCACCCCTTACACACATACATACACACATAAACCTATTAAGGTTCGGCCACACAGAGCGCTACGCTGTGTTCGCTACGTACGCTACGTACGCTGTGTACACTCTGCGACGCAGCTAACATAGGGAACATAGCGTACGTAGCTTACGGAAGTCTGTGTGGCCAGTCACATTGGCATTAAAGGGAGATATTTTTCTGTTCGTATAGCGAACATAGCGTACGTAGCGTGCGTCGCGTACGTAGCGCTCTGTGTGGCCGAACCTTTGTACTCATACAGATTCAAATGAGTTACGATAGAATTTCTTTTTATTGACACAGCCAAAAGCAGACAAATGCTCAAACCGAGCTGGTCTCCTTAACTTCGCATGCTCGGGACCGTCCCGAAAATCCGCGAAAATTACAGATATCTGAACAATTTATAAAATTCCACAAATTTTAACTTCTTATGATGATATTTCTTGCGTTCTCTTCTCGCAACTGAGTCGTCTTGTGGGTGTTCTATAGTCACTTTTCCCAACAACGCAACCGTGAAGTGAAACGCCTTCTGAATAGACCCTACTTCACTGGAAGAGGGTCCAGCTCTTTTGCCCGAGTCCGTTCTCCCAAAATTCATAGCTCCATCTATTACTAAGGACCCAATGGGAATTGCGAATAGATAGCATGAAGAAAATCACAATAACTGAGGGGGGGGGGTTCCACTTGTTTGAAGCTTTTGTGGCAATTGTGTATATCCGGCTAGAGAGAAATGAACTCTGGTGTCTTTAAAGCATCAGAGAACAAAGGTGTTAGTATTAATACAATTACGAAACTTATAATGATAATATTTAGCATTCTTTCTTACTTACTTATGGAGCTGAGCCCTTCTTGAGGAGAAGCAAAATCTGCAGCTACTCAAGAATTTCCCAGCATTTTATGGAGCCTGAAGGTTCATTACCGTGTTCAAAAGAGCCCTCCACTAGTCCCTATCCTGAGCCAGATCAATCCAGTCCATACCATCCAATCCTGTCTCTCTAAGATCCATTCCAATATTGTCCACCCATCTAAGCCTTGGTCTTCCCTGTGGTCTCTTTCCTTCTGGCTTTTCCATCAATATCCTATATGCATTCCTCTTCTCCCCCATCCGTGCTACAAGCCCTGTCCGCCTCATCATCCTAGTCTTGATCATTCTAATTATACTTGGAGAAGAGTACAAGTTATAATATTTAGCATTAAATTATATATTTATCGGAAGGAAGAACAGTGATGGGCCTAATTGTTGCAGTAAGGGCCGTGCCATAGCTCAGGCAGTTAGTCGTTGGCTTCGCATTGCTGTGTCCCGGGTTCGAACCCAGGTCAGATCATGTGGAATTCATGGTGGACAACGTGTCATTGTGGCAGTTTTTCTCGAGTACTTCGGTTTCCCCTGCCAATTCTCATTCCACCTACTACTCCACACTCATCATCTATCATCCGGGCCAGTTAGTAGTGGCCGACGTAACGAGTGGACTCAGTCTAGCCCCACCACAAGAGAGTAAAAACAGAAAAACTAATCGTTGCAGTGTTTCTTTACTTCCCTAAGTTAATGTCTGTAGTAATTATTAATGCTTTTATTTTTTTCGTCTGTGACGTTAGAGTTGTTTTGGAAACCATTCAGCACTAAAGTAAACGAATATTTGTGTGTTCTAGATGGATGGAATTTGGGGCTTTTACTCTCTTCAATAAACCAACTCGTTATGTCAGTAAAGCTGGCTACACATCCGTCACTAGGACAGCTACTCCGTGGTGAGTAAGTAAAGCTTCTCGCATAATATTATCGAAATGTTTGTGACGAGTCATGTTCATGTGTTGGGTGATCCATTTTTGTAGAATGACACTAGTTCCTCCATTTGGTCACAAGTTACCATAGTAAGTCTAATAAATATTGCAATAGGTACAAAATAAGTCCAAGGTAGAAATAAACTAATATTTTATAACTAGATTATTAATATCTGTATTTCTACGAAGAGCAGCTTTCCTGACTAACGGAAGGCAGTGAGATAAGTGATACGTAGTGGCTGATAAATAGGCTGTTTAAAAATTATGTAATTTACAAGGTGTTTGGCCAAGAATATGAAATGGATGATTATCCACAAATTAACGTAGCCACAATATAATATTCTTAGGAAAGCAATATCTCCTTTGTATTAATATCTACTGGGAATATTCTACAATGAAGTACGAAATTTGTGAATTAATCTCAATTAAGTCTCAACGGTGAAAAACTTAATGATGGCCCGTTATTTTTTTTAATTCATCCTGCAGTTTTCCTTTCATCATTAAC